ATAATGAAAATAAAAATAAAAATGTAATAGATTGCAGCTTACCAATCCCTAAATGTGGTGACTGCATTCGTTTTCTTTTTTTAAGGCTACTTTTCTTTTATTTTCACCTGGTGATCCGTCCAGTGGCACACTTCCTGTCCTAGGGTGTCCCAAGCCTGGATGGAGGAGCAACGGGGACACCTCTGGACAGCAGCATTGTCAGTCTGAGGAGTGGGCAGTGTTAGATGCACTGGCAGATTTAGATGGACTTGACTAATAAATTAAAGCTGGACTCAAGTTAACATTTTTTAGGCAGTTAGAGCAACAGTTTTTTTTTCTTTTTGGGATTAAGGTTTTACATAAATAAATAAATAAAAACTTATAAATGCAAGCACCTCTGGCATTGGTAAATGGTTTGTCTCAACCTTTCTAACTGCCACTTTTTCTGGACAACTTGGTCTGTTAAAGGAAGCTGAAAAACTACAAACGTACTGGCTAGATCACTGGGGAAAATAAAGGAAAACAGGCACAAAAGAAAATAAAACAGGGTCAGCTACCACATCTAAGTAATACATTTTTGTTTTGGGTATAACATTGCTTCAAATGGTCTAGGGATTTCAAATCCACACTGTTCTCTCTCTTCTCAGTGCACCTTTTTCTGGGAAGGACCAGCTCCATTTTGATTGGTCAGCACTGTCACAGTGAATCAGTTTGGTCCATCCCAGAAACGCTGAATGGAGAAGAGGGAGAAGAGTGGGAATATCAAATTCTCAGACCAGCTGGGTTGGTACTGACAACTCAGGATCACTGAAGGAATGTGTAGCTCTGCCCCCAAAGGAGCCGCTGGTGACAATGAGTCCTCTGCTCTGCTGTGACTCTAAACTGTTTGGTCCCCGCTGACACACTTGGTAATAAACTAAAGACTGTTTGCACCTGTGGATTTAAGGGTTAGCATAATGCACAGGAATGAGGCAGCTTGGACAGTGAATTAATTCTATGTATTAAGGAAAGTGCAATAAACCAGGCATAAACCAATGAACAAGTAACTAAACTGTCATAAGGATACCTTAATGGATAAATGGTCAATGACCTACTAACTTGCACTCTAAGGAACTGTAGCAAGGTAAAAATGAACTATAACTGGTGCAATTAGAGTTTCTAACTAACTCAGAGGAAATGAAAAGGGTCCTTGTGTACTCATTGTGCGATTCTAGTGTAGGGGTATCCCTGAAGGTGACTGAAAGTATCCTGCAGCTAATAGGAAGGTTGACTGGCTTTTGGTGGGGCCCTTCTCTTCTGTGGTTCACAAACGCATTCCTTTTAAGAGTGTTAGCAAAGTATGGCAGGTGGACTGTCATACAGGGATACAGACAGAGAGCTGTGAGGAGTGTCTGCCTGAGCCTGACACTCTACTCATAATCCACGGATTACGGGTGTAATGCTTTTCAGGCTCCAGTGTAAAAAAATAATAAAAACTTTTTTTAACCTGAAAAATCATGTGCATTTATTTTTTTTATTTAAAGGTGAACTAGGCCTTTAAACAGTTATTTAAAAATACAATGCATACAATTAGCATAATGCTCTGTATGACAGAATTCAGAATGATTCAGACAGAGGCATGGCCCACCTTGTCCATCTGCAGCATGTCATACGTGTGTCGGCTTATGGCCATTTGGCTATAGCTGGCCATGCATGTAGGTGTAAGTGTGTGCATGTTGGCACACATGAGTTAACATTACTATTATACATGATTTATATAGCGCCAACAGTTTGCTCAGCGCTTTACAATATAACGGGAGACAATACAGCAACAATACAGTTCAATACAAGAGGGTTAGGAGGGCCCTGCTCCTTGGAGCTTACAATCTAGGACAACATGTGTCAGAAGATGTACGTTGATGTGCATCCCTGATGCTGGGCTTGGTCATTGGCTTGGAGTATATTTCATTGGCTTGGAGTATATTGCTGACACGGATTTCCTGACTCTACTCTCGTCTCCAGTCCTTGTTGCCGACTCTACCCATTCCTGTTATCAGCCCCAGTCTCTCATTGGACCTTGACTAGCCTCTTGCCTGCCTCAACCCCTGCTAGGACCCTGACTACTCTTTTGACTGTTCCTGCCTTGACCTCTCCTGGGACCCTGACTACTCTCTTGCCTGTCCCCTGCCTTGATCTCTTCTGGGACCCTGACTAATCACTTGCCTGTCCAATTCCTCAACCTCTGGTGGGACTCTGACTACTTTCTTGCCTGTCACCTGCCTCAACCTCTGCTGGGATCCTGAATAAACTTCTACCTGCCGCAGCCGCTGCCTAAACATGGACAACTCTTGTGCCTACCGCCTGCCCTGACCTCTGCCCAGACAACAACCTGCTGCCTTCATCACATCCTATCCCCTCAACCTAGCCACCCTGTATCAGTGACTCTTTGGTAAGGCAAACCCAAAGGCCATGACCTGGTGACAGCTAGTAGAAAAATATGTCAGGGACCACTATGATCTCTGGCTTATCAATCCTTGCAGGGTGAACACCAAGCTGTCACTTAAACTTTGCACCTTGGGGTAGCCTGCTAGGGATGTCACTTGCAAAATATGTTGTTCTGTAATCTATTTTTCATGAGGTTGCTTCTTACTATGTTTTTCTGCCTCCTTGTAGAGGCCACTGTGAACTCCCAAGCCTCTCCTTTTCCCATTCATTTCTGAAATGAGCAGTGCATGTTAGTTGCAGTCTCTGCTCTGCAGCACTGCTCTGTACAGTATACACTACAAATTCCATAGGCCCACATCCATTTCTGGAGTGAACAAGAGAGGGTGGCTAGCTTCCTACATACACTCGGACTATGGAGATTGAATGTAGCCACCCTCTAACAGGAATTCAGATCACTGCAACAAAGAAAAACATTTGGAGATTTGGAGGAGGCTGAGAGCAATAGAAGGGGCATTTTTTAGTTAGGAAAACATCCTTGAATAGAATTTTAGATTATTTGTTATTTTAAAGTGGTTGTAAAGGCTGAAGGTTTTTTACCCTTATGCATTCTGCAAGGCAAAAAAACCTTCTGTGTGCAGCAGTGTCCCCAGCCCCCTCAAAACCTACCTGAGCCCCAACGTGATCCAGCAATGTGCACAACAGCCTCAGCTGCTCCGGATCTCTGCCTCCTCATTGGCTGAGACAGCAAATGGGAGCCATTCTGCTGTCAATCACAGCCATAAAGAAACGGCAAACGTAGCTACTCCTGAGCTTAGGGACTCTGTATGAATAGGATCACATCACAAATTTCTTGGAATATGCACGCCTTGCTGCCTTCAAATGACCGGGGAAGTCCAAATATACTGAGTAGAGAAAAACAAACAGAGGGTGCACCGACCTAGTGCATTGCCTTAAACAATGTATTTATTAAATGATAAAAATAGGTATTGTACTCACAAAATGACAAAACAGTCAAAGGCATATCATGAAAGAACAGCTCTGTCCAATCCACACTACGTGTCTGTCCGTAATGGGAACTCTGGACCTCCAACAGACTGACACGTTTTGAGGACTTGCCTCTTCCTCAGAGCCCATGAGGAGAGAGGAGGGGCTCCACCAAGCCGCGGCTCTGTGTGTGAATGGAGACATGGAGTAGTGGCTTGGGAACATGCCTGCGCAGGTTCTGCCATAGCAAGCTGATTGCTATGGGGCACCTGACAGAAAGGAGGAGCCAGGAGCACTGTGGGGAGACCCAAAAAGAGGAGGATCCTGACTGCTCTGTGCAATACCACTGCACAGAGCAGGTAAGCATAGACATGTTTGTTATTTTCCACAAAAAAAAGGGGAACCTTTAGTATCACTTTAACAAAGGGCCTGGCAAATGGCCAGCCTGGCCATCAATATTACTTCTAAAAACTGGATGTGTAACTTAAATGCTTTGTAATCTAAAGGAACACAACTTTCCAGTGAGATGAGCAACAAGAAAAACTGTTTGTATAAAAAAGCGAAGAATGAACAATCTTACAAGACCCAGATTGGATCTCCCAGCATGCCTCTGGCCACAGAACATGTGCGAACTGACATCTCATCTAACCTCATGTTCCTGGATGTTTACACATGCTCCATGTGGTTCCCCTGATGGGAAATAAAACACACTCACACGCACACTCAGCTCACATACATTACCAATCTTGTTCACACCACTCCGGGGAAGAACACAAAATTCAGCAATAAATGTGTAAAGTAAAAAGCTAATATACCTGAGCCTGGCTTTTACTTCTGGCTGCAATAAAAGAAAAAGAAACATGCTGCAAAAAGGTCAGAGCTAAGGTAAGAAACAAATCCTACCACTGACGTTTTGCTTCTGTGGGCTTCAGGAGAACTCAGAAGGAACATCAGGAGTTAGGCCACATTCACACTTGACAGTTCCTGAACATGCAACAAAACGCACAGAAAACAGACATTTGTTGTGCGTTTCAGGAAAATGTGTTACACACAAGCATCGAGCTTGTGGCAATGTTTTTTAACCACTTCCTGTCCAGGGCAATTTTCAGCTTTCAGCGCTATCACACTTTGAATGACAATTGCGCGGTCATGCAATACTGTACTCATATGAATTTTTTACCATTTGCTTAAGACAGATAAAGCTTTTTTTGGTGGTATTTATTCACCACTGGGATTTTTATTTTTTTTGCTATGTAAATGAAAAAGTCCAAAAAGTTTGAAAAAAAGTGTTTTTCTTATAAAATTTTGCAAATAAATAATCTTTCATCATAAATCTTGGCCAAAATGTATTCCGTTATATTTTTAGTAAAAAAAAAAAGCCAAATTATTTTATAACCAAAAATTATAATTTTTAAATATTTTTTTTACATTTTTATTTTTTTTTTATTTATGTTTTTTTTTGTTTTTTTTTTACATACTGTCACCATGGTGACACTGTACTACTTGTGTGGGGTGATGAAGATTTTTTTTTTTTTATTTCCACTGATTGCTTTTACACCCATATAGAATGTAAAAGCAATCATTTCTCTTTCTCTCTGTCTGCATTCTTGCAGCCATTGATAAATACTGATTGAGCTGTGATTGGTCACAGCTTGTCACATGGTACAAGTTTGTTGTGAATAGCCTTGTACCATGTGTCCTCTGTGATCATTCACAGATTTCACATGTAGTAAGCAATGATGTCACAAGTGACATCTTGCTTACTACTTTGCTTGTGATCACTGATTGGCCAATCAGTGATCACATGATCGGACCTTGTACAGAGGTCCTGTCCGATCGGTGTTTCACTGTGTCCGGAGGACACAGCGGGCACCGGATCGCTGTGCTGCCTGATCTGATCTGTGGAATGGGGAGCATAATGGATCGGACTCCGAACCGTTATGCTCAATCCGCAGTTCCGATCCATTCTGTGGGGATCTTGGGCTTGCTTTACAACTTACCTTTTGGTGGAGTGGGTCCCCGTGTCACCCCGTGCGGTAGGTGTCACCCAGTGTGGCCCCCCCCCCCCCGCACCTGCCTAGGGACACCTCTGTACATACCTATTTTCAGGCATCTCTGGTCCAGTCATGTGATTTACCCTGTGTCAGTCAGAGCTGCTGCTCTCTTTGTATTGCTTCCTTTATGTGAAATACCTGGTGATCCTGCCAGTCCCTCTGCTTTCCTATTAAAAAGCTACCATGCTAGACATAGAAACATATACTTCCCAGTGTGGACAGTTTTCTGGCTGTCCTGGGAGAACAGTCTGCCTGTCCTCCAATGGTCAGACTTGTGCTGACATGCCAACCTGCACAGCCATTCACTGGGAAGATCAGTTCACAGCTGCTACTCCGCACTTACCTCTCTAAGCCGGATATGTATCTGAGAATAGAGATTATGTGATCAGTTATTTAAAAAAAAAAGAAAAAGGTATTTAGAATGTTTATATATATATATATATATATATATATATATATATATATATAACAACATTCTAAATACCTTTTTCTCTTTTTTTTAAATAACTGATCACATAATCTCTATTCTCAGATAGAGATTATGTTATATGATATATATGTTATATATATATATGTTATATGATATATATACAGGGCTGATGTTAGAAACCACGGGGCCCCATATAGCCAACCTGACAAGGCCCCATTAAAAAAAAACAATACACACAGTTCATTATGTTTCAGTTATGAATGAACACACTGAGTGGTTGGTACCAATCACTCATTGTGTTCATTCAGGAAAGGAAGGGGGTTGGTAAATGTGACATATTTATCGGGCCCTTCCCCCATTCTCCATTCTGAAGGATCCTATTGTGTGCTTGTAGCTGCCTTGGGGAGGAGGGAAGCAGACACTGTGGGGGCCCAGGCAGTTGGGTGAATCAGGTGTGCACAGGGAGGGTGATCAGCATGGTGGGCGGGGGGGGGGGGGGGATTAATGGAAGCAATTCCCTGTATGGCTCTCTCTGCAGCAGCTGAAAACCAGGGAGGGAGAGGAGATGAGTCCAGCTTTCAGATGCTGAAGAGAGAGCTATACAGAGGATCGGTTCCAGTAATTGCCCCCCCACCATGCCGATCACCCTCCCTACACACATACAATTCACCCAGCTGCCTGGCCTCCCCTGCTGGCTGGGCCCCATACAGGAGGACCGGTGGTACCCCCTTATCCACGGCCCTGTATATATACAGTATATATATATATAAATATATTATACACAAACATTTTGCCTTTCATTTAATCTGAATGCGTTGTTTTACAGGGTGAGGGTTCACTTATATCTTAAAGTGGTTGTAAATGTTTTTGTTTTTTTTTATTAAAATAACAAACGTGTCATACTTTTCTGCTCTGTGCGCTTAAAGGTTTTGCACTGATCAGCCCTGATCCTCGTCTTCGCAGGTCCCCTGCAGGTGCTCCAGACTCCTGCCCCCATGAGTGCCTCCATTGCAAGTTGCTTGCGAGCTCGCTCCCCATCTACTCTGTGTGTCCATAGTGCATGGCTTGGCCTCTCCCTCCTGCCCCCTCCTAGCTGGCTGTTATTGACAGCAGCAGCAGCCAATGGCTCCTGTTGCTATATCTGGGCCAATGAGGAGGGAGAGCCCCTGGAGAGACACAGAGTGCTGGATCGAGATCAGACTCAGGTAAGTATTAGGAGAGAAGAAGATGGTGGTAAAACCCATATACTCCTGTGCTTAGGGTTGGACTCTGTATGGATAGAACAACATCACGAGTTTCTTGGGGTATGCACGCCTTGCTGCCCTCAAAGGACCGGGGAAGTCCACATATACTGAGTAAAGATAAAAATAAACAGAGGGTGCACCGGCCTAGTGCATTACCTTTAAAAATTTATTTATTAATGAAAAAAGTAGAAAGTGACTGGAGAGAAACGCCTTAGTACTAAACAATTGTAAAGCTGCTATGCACGAATGAGGTACCAATAACCCCTAGAAGACCTTACTAAACATAAAATAAAGTGCAGCGCTAAACATATATAGATAATGACATGTATTCAATCAGTTCGATCAATAAAAAGTCCTCCTCAATTAGGTGACAGAGATTAGGTGCTCAAGTATGCAGGTGACTTAGGTATTCAGGTGACTTGGTTCAGGTATCCGTGCACGAAAGTGATAAAGCAATGCGCACTCACCAGACCCGCATAAAATATGCGCCTTTGTGTATAAATGATCCAGATGTCATCCGATACTGGGTGGTCCTCCCTCAGCTGTGTATGAGGCTGATGATCCTCTCCACTTAGGGGTCCCCCTGGTGTTGGACGTTAAAGGATCTGGTCTGGGTCCCTCCGGTGTATCCAGGAGCAGGTCTGCAAATTAGAGTGCTCCCCCTCCTTGCTGTTCCTTCACATGTGTGTTTCTCTGAGCACAGAGAAACACACATGTGAAGGAACAGCAAGGAGGGGGAGCACTCTAATTTGCAGACCTGCTCCTGGATACACCGGAGGGACCCAGACCAGATCCTTTAACGTCCAACACCAGGGGGACCCCTAAGTGGAGAGGATCATCAGCCTCATACACAGCTGAGGGAGGACCACCCAGTATCGGATGACATCTGGATCATTTATACACAAAGGCGCATATTTTATGCGGGTCTGGTGAGTGCGCATTGCTTTATCACTTTCGTGCACGGATACCTGAACCAAGTCACCTGAATACCTAAGTCACCTGCATACTTGAGCACCTAATCTCTGTCACCTAATTGAGGAGGACTTTTTATTGATCGAACTGATTGAATACATGTCATTATCTATATATGTTTAGCGCTGCACTTTATTTTATGTTTAATGAAAAAAGTAGGTATTGCACTCACAATGCAGTCAAAGGTACATTGTGAAAGAACTGCTCTGTCCAATTTGCACTATGTGTCTGTCTGTAATGGGAGCTCAGGACCTCCAACAGGCTGACGCATTTCAAGGACTTGCCTCTTCCTCAGAGCTAATTGACCAAATGTCTGTATCCTCTCTTATATAGTAATTCACTAGTGAACATATATAAGAGAGAGTACAGACATTTGGTCAGTAGGCTACTTCTTACTTTTTTCATTAATGAGAATTAGGAGGGGCGGGGGGGGGGGGGGAGCTGCATACTGAAGGTTTTTTACCTTCAGCCTTTAGAACCACTTTAAAAGTAGTCAGGGTTATCTCAGAATTCTGCTGCAATTATGGCAAACACAGCTGCCCAGCCCCCTCATAAACAAAGAGAACTATGTACGATTTTTCATTGCGGGAGGGTCCAGAATAAAGCTTCTAAAAAAGGTAAGCTGCAGTTTTAATTTTTTCTAGCTATGCTATGTAAATGGGGGCATGTAAGAAATACTGTATAAAGTGAGTTTAATCCCAATTTTACTGCAAAAGTGGAAATATGCTTTAAATCACACCTTCAATTACGACACATCATCAGAAAATATTGTATTCAGGGGCGGACTGACCATTTGGAAACTCGGGCACTGCCCGAGGGCCCGGGGTCAGTAGGGGGCCCCCATGAGATGCCCCGGTACCTTTTTCATAGGTTTTTTTGAGTTTGGGCAAGGACACAGGGGCCCCATGAACCCCTATTGCCCGGGGGCCCCATGAGTTGTCAGTCCACCCCTGACTGTATTCCAAAAGTCGGGTTTCCAAACACATTATCACATTTGTATTGCGATACCTATTACCTTCGCCGTCTGCCGTGAAGGAGCAGGACTCTGATAAGAATTTAACAGTCTAGCAAAATGCGTTTATTCCCCGTTAACAATCCACTCCCTCAAAGCGTCTTTCCGGTATAAATAAGTAACGATCAGATTTCGTTCCCCGTCATTCTCCTGGAATAAGTTGCAAAGTTTTGTCGATAGCAATAAAACCAGCCGGTCATGTGACCTCGCCGTGCCACCCTCACAAACGAAATGACAGGTTCTGTGCCTTTTGCCGACCACATCAATAAATGTTTCAGCTTATAAATGAAATGCACTGGTGTGGAATAATGGATTTTTAGTTTAAAGGATAACTGTATGTCTTCACACTGCGAGGATCACTGAGGAGTTATTAAAGAACAGTTGAAATATATAAAAACAGAAATGGTTCATTATCTGGCAATCTCAGCTACAAGACACAGCGTTTCATCATCACGCCGACCGGGCTCTTATTAAAATAAATATCAACTGGTTTATATGTGTGGACTGGGCTGCATTTATCTGATTTATTTAGCTTTGTACATTTTCTTGAATCATAAGCAAAGGCTGGATGACCAGCAGACCCATGCGATAGAACTGGCGGATTCTGTAACGTTCTGTATACCCTCGCAGCAATTATACTGTATATATTTATGAAACTATATATAGCTAGGCCATTCTTCCTACTGTGAAACATAATGGCAGGAGATGTCACGGAGGGTCTGAAAACCTATACAGGAGTGATCGCTGTGGAACTTTAAGGACTTTATTACACATTTGTATTACCTTCTACATAATTGCTTGTGTATCATACCTCCCAATAATAATTGCCATATTGGTAAAAAAAATAGTTTGTCTGAAAGCACTGTGTAAATTTTCAGCACTATATAAATACTAATAATAAATAAATAAAATACATAAATAGAGATAATGGGGTGGATTTACTAAAGGCAAATAGACAGCGCACTTTTCAAGTGAAGTTGCACTTATTTTTCCCAAAGCTTAGTAAA